TGCCCATTCTACTCCAGCTACATTGGTGTGCCTTTCCTACCCTGGGATCGATGGATGGAAGTTAAGTTATAAACAAGGCTTGGTGAGAAATGAAGAATGTCCGTCGTTATATTTAAGTGCCAAATATCTGTTGTGTAGCTTTTCTGATGTGAAAACAAGCTTTTGGGATTCAGTTTCTCAACGTTTCCCGTGGTAAAACGATTGTATTCTCCTCATGCCAAAGAGCCTTTCTGCAAATGGTGTTAGGGAGCATGGTCACAAAGGCTTTAGGTCTGTCGCGTGTGTCAGGTGTTAAAGATCAATCAGAGAAGTTTTTCAAATCTTTTCATTTCAGTGCAACTGTTCAGTAGCAGCTCGCCGCCATGGCACTCATCGTTAAAATGTTAACCATTCTGCTTTCAAGAGCAACTGCGTCCCAATCAGAGGTGCTTGCAATGTCACCGTGCCATCGCTGCTGTGCTGGGCCTGAGGCGGTACTGCCGGCCCTGGACAGCAGTGACCGCCAGTATCACAACTTGAGCCCCCAGTACAGCGTCTGGACCTACCTGTGGCCGCGTTGGGGACGACCGGGTTCTGTCGGCTACCGTCGCGTTAAGTGCCATGCGCCATGCGCAGTAAAGCTATGCACCCCTGGCACATGCTGTTGCCTGTAGCCCAGTGGTTACATAACATCTGTCAAGTATGTTTTATAGATAAAAAAGACATCATGTGTATTTCTTGTAATAACTCGCAGCACGTTTCACAGCGCGACAGCTGCATTTGCAGGCTATACGTGTTATATATATATATATATATATATATATATATATATATATATATATATATATGCATTACTAATCAGGATATCGGTGTACTCAATATTTCTATCGCCAGCCAGTGACCGCATTCACTGTGTTTCATCTCAACTCTAAAAAAATTGGTGACAACGGGATTCGATCCGGCGCCTGGACGTCGCGGCACGTGCATGGGTCTACGCTTTGCTTGATGGCTCAAAAAGGAGTGCCACAGCACACAGTTTTGATCCCGAATTTTGAAAGAGGATTGTTCAAACTGAATTTCTATGCACTTTCTGTGCATATATATTTTCAATATTTAGAAAACCGTGGGCCTGAAAAAGGCATTTTAGCATGGGTACCCTATGTCTAGTCATGAATTGTGTGCCGTTGCTGCCATATTTTGTACTAGACTTTGGACCCCCGAGTGACAACGGTTATGCACTATCTTCTCTGGCGCAGACAGTACGCCATCCTGGTGCCAGAACGGCTGAATTTCTCTTTAAGCCTTGGGTGTATAAGCTTAAGCACCACTCACCGGTGCAGGGTAATTTAACCAGTTGTCAACACATGAATGGGTGGCCTGCTGTTGCGCAGTGGATTCGCAAACACTGGCACTATTGACGGGATTTCCGCGCGGACATGAGGGAGGCTGCCATTATCTTTCCAGACAGGTACTAGGCGCTCGACTGTATTGAGCAACGTTTGTAAGATGCTCTGAAAGCACCCACATGTTCAGGCTTTGTTTGATTGCTTAGTTAGCACAAGCGTTTGCACGCTTGCTTCGCTGCGCCAATGAAAAACGCAGAATTTTTAATATATTTCTTTTGCAGTTTAAATCACGGTTCTGGGTGCCCTCGTTATCGATTTGCGATGTGGCGTAAAACGAGAAAACCACCGGTAATGATCAAATCTATCTTGCCGGCTCGTGCACACGTGACACACAGCTCGTGCAACGTGACAATTCATGCAACGTGATTGTCAGTTCGATTCTCTATCAATGCATGTCACTCCCCAGTGGCACCATGCCCTGGGTATTGCGATATGCCATACAGCTGTAAAACCTGTCAAAAATACGAAATTTAGTATTTCCGGAGCGTGTGGATATGACACGTAAGCCGTGCGTAGGTACACGTGGTTACACACGACATGCCATTCCATTCATTATCGCGGCATGCCAGTCGCGTGTGACTGCGTGCTCTGAGTGCAGAAGTGTGGCGTAAAGCGTAAAAACCAACGACATCAGTAAAGTGGATCTTCACAGCTAGTGTGAACGTCGAACGTGACACGTGCGCATCTTATCTTACAGCACGTGATTGCCCGTTAGATTGCCAATCGAAGCATAGCACTCTCAAGTCGCTTCGTGCACCGGGTGCCGCGATATCGCAAAAAGCGTAAACACGTCGAAAATGACCAATTTCGACACGTGGACACCATTACACGTAGCGCGTATAACCAGTCATTTCTGTCTTGTCCTTCCATTTCTTATCGAAGCGTACCAGTGTGCGTCCCGAGTGCGTCCGTGTCCTGGGCACCGAGAATTCGCACAAAACGTGTAAACCCGTGAAAGAAGGCAAAATCCACCTTTTGCGATGTCAATTAACGGTGGCCACCTGTCGTGTTCGCCAATCACGCCCACCTGCCTGTCGTGTTGACCAATCACAGGAGGCCGTCTGTTGTGCTCCCAGTCATCGGTGCCGCCTGTTGTGCTCGTCAGTCACAGATGTCTGCCCGTGTGTTATGAACCGACAGTCATGACCCATGTGTCGCCTAGACCAATCACGGTCGCCCCGCTGTCGCGCTGACCAATCACGGGCGCCCGCCTGCCGTGTTGACTAGGGCGATAATGAGCGGGCGCTGGGTCGCGAGCCGTTGCCCATGATGGACCGACTCCAGGCGGAGAACCAGCCGTCCACGCAGGTGGGTGGGGCGCCGCGCGACGCCGCCCGCGCCGCCTCCAGTGTAGCCTCGTGCGGCGGTGTTGCAGGGTGACGCCGAAAAGCAGGCGGGCCGCACGCCCCTGCAGCTGATGGACCGCTCTCAGCATGACCAGCAGGCTCACTCTCAGGTACCCCGACCCGCCGACCCACTGGCACACCGACCCACCAGGGACTGCTGGGCCTCGGCTCCTGATCCTACTCACTGGATCTCGGACACAGGCTCGCCTGCTCTTATCCCAATGCCCTTTGCAGTTATCCTCCCTTCTCAGATACAGGATCGTAAGCACCTCCAATGGTTTATTTCACCATCACTTAAAGTATTTTCGCTTCTGCCCTACACTTCTTGGCACGCTTCTCTGTCTAGATTGCCGTTGTTTACGAGCAGAAGGCTTCTTGTTTGCATTCATGTTTTGTTCGCCTGTCTCGTCTTTCTGTAGGCGTACTACAAACGGATTTCACACTCTTTCCCTGCGTTTAAAAAAAGAGTAAAATTGCTTGTTTTGCCCTTGAGTCGCACAACAATATATCTCTGCTTGGTACATTATTTTAGCTGTAAGCGTCTTGCGCACAATGGAATTAAACACTTAAAATTCGTCGCTAAGCAAACGGAAGCACTTAGATCGTATGTCTAAGAACATACGGCATGATAGGTCAATAAACGTGCTTTACCTGTGCATTGTTAGGAGGCTTCTATGCATTATTCCACAAGTAGGATAAGCCCAGTGGTGCCCATTTCGAGTGGGTAACGAAACGACGCAGGATTGCTACAGATTTGAGGAAGTTTGCGGGTATGGGTACAGGTAAGACATTTACGAAATGTTGGGTAGACACTTAAAGAAATACTACACAATGTTACTGATCGCGCTTCTTTTAAATATACTTTGCTCCAGTTTTCCTACTTTTGCTACGATCAACTTTAAGAGTAGGCTTGGCTGTAACGTTCCTGAAACTTCTGCATAATTTAAAGACTTGAGTGCTGGAAAATGCGACCGGTTGGGTACAGAATGGATATAACTGGTACCAGTTCTATAGCGGGTGGGTTTTAACACAGTTCCATGGGAACCGGGTGGGTGTGGACAAAGCCCCATGGGTAGCATGTGGGTATGGACACAGCCCCATGGGCAGCGACTGGGTATGCACACTGTCCCATGGGTAGCAGCTGGGTGTGGACATAGTACCATGGGCAGCGGGTAGGTCTGGACACAGCCCTATGGGCAGCGGGTAGGTCTGGACACAGCCCCATGGGCAGCGGGTAGGTCTGGACACGGTTCCATGGGCAGCGGGTAGGTTTGGACACAGTCCCATGGGTAGCAGGTGGGTGTGGACACAGCCCCATGGGCAGCGGGTACGTCTGGACACAATCCCATGGGCAGTGGGGGTGTGTGGACACAGTCCCATGAGCAGCGTGTAGCGGGTAGGTCTGGACAGTCACCTGGGCAACCCAGTCATATGAGCAACGGGTAGGTTGGGTAAAGGAAAGCTCCGCTGTCAGGACTTCTAGCTCACACACGATTGTTCGTCTTCCACGCATACATTCGTTTAGTAGTACTAGACCTCTGTGTTGTGCGGAAGAGCGGAATAAACAGATTGTTAGTGCATGCCTCCATGTTTTTTTTTTAAAAACAATTCGCACATTCTGTCATGTCAGCGTGATAGCGTTTTGCACGGAATTAATCAACTTTGCCATCAAGGCGACGCACGAACTTGCGTAAAGGTGGCGGGAACTTCGGCTCACTGTGTGCAGGCGCCATGTCAAGCTACAGCAAAACACGCAAACTTCCGCCACAGTTGTAGCTTGTTGACCCCGCGCACAATCTATCAAGATCAGTGTTACAATTAGTATTACACAGCAGACACGCAAAGACACCAAACGATGTGGCATTGTGCACAACCGTTATGTAGAGCTGGGCTTGGACGGGCAAAGTTCCTTCATGTTTTTATGTAATAGCAGCATCCGCTTATGAGTTTGCTGCGCGGACCACGAGGATATGTTGAGGTCACCTTGCAAGACATGCCAGCTATGCAATTAGAGACACCAGGAGGCGCTTAAAAGTATTTCTACATCAAAAGTCGTGGTGTGCCTTGCTCGTGCTTATCTCGCTGTAGCGTCCGATCTAGCTCGTGGTTAGCTCGCTGTAGCGTCCGATCTAGCTCGTGGTTAGCTCGCTGTAGCGTCCGATCTAGCTCGTGGTTAGCTCGCTGTAGCGTCCGATCTAGCTCGTGGTTAGCTCGCTGTAGCGTCCGATCTAACTCGTGGTTAGCTCGCTGTAGCGTCCGATCTAGCTTGTGCTTAGCTCGCTGTAGCATCTGATCTAGCTCGTGGTTAGCTCGCTGTGGCGTGCGATCTAGCTCGTGGTTAGCTCGCTGTAGCGTCCGATCTAGCTCGTGCTTAGCTCGCTGTAGCGTCCGGTCTATCTCGTGGTTAGCTCGCTGTGGCGTGCGATCTAGCTCGTGGTTAGCTCGCTGTAGCGTCCGATCTAGCTCGTGGTTAGCTCGCTGTAGCATTCGATCTAACTCGTGGTTAGCTCGCTGTAGCATTCGATCTAACTCGTGGTTAGCTCGCTGTAGCATCCGATCTAGCTTGTGCTTAGCTCGCTGTAGCATCTGATCTAGCTCGTGGTTAGCTCGCTGTGGCGTGCGATCTAGCTCGTGGTTAGCTCGCTGTAGCGTCCGATCTAGCTCGTGGTTAGCTCGCTGTAGCGTCCGATCTAGCTCGTGGTTAGCTCGCTGTAGCATTCGATCTAACTCGTGGTTAGCTCGCTGTAGCGTCCGATCTAGCCTGGTGGGTTCGGACCTCAACAGCCCCGCCGTTGTGAAATTGGATAGTTTGATGAGCCGTAGCCCTCGCTCGGCCGGACACCACGACCTCAGCCGTGCAGTACACTCTCCATGCAGAGCGACACCTATGGAGACACTGGTCGGCACGCCTCAGAGTCCGTGCCTAGCTCCGTTTCGCGTCACTCGCAGTGCGCTACCAATGGGCAGCAAAAACGTTTGCCAAAGAGTGCTCATCGTCTATCTGCCATTGGTTCACTTGTCTCTCTCTCAGCTGTCACTGGTTCAGTTGTATTTGGCCCAGTGGCCCGGGGTCAGTCGCCAATAGTGCAGTCTCTCTCTCTCTCTCTCTCTCTCTCTCTCTCTCTCTCTCTCTCTCTCTCTCTCTCTCTCTCTCTCTCTCTCTCTCTCTCTCTCTCTCTCTCTCTCTCGTTTTTGAACTTATCTTCATGTGGGTCAGGGTCATACTGACCGCTTTTGGTGTTCTTTTGCATCTGTATTTCAAACCGTTGTAGCTGACGCTCTGAAGATTAGTGATTTCTCCTAAAAACAAAGTTGTCGTTACTCACGACCTGTGAACGCTTCATCTCCCAACATTGTCCAGAGGCGATCTCAGATAGGGTTTTTGTGAGGCATGTCAAGACGAGCGGCGCGCTGGTCAGACTGGACGCGCCGCATGTCAAGACGAGCGGCGCGCTGGTCAGGGTGGATGCGCCGCATGTCAAGACGAGCGGCGCGCTGGTCAGACTGGACGCGCCGCATGTCAGGACGAGCGGCGCGCTGGTCAGACTGGACGCGCCGCATGTCAAGACGAACCGCGCGCTGGTCAGGGTGGATGCGCCGCGTGTCAAGACGAGCCGCGCACTGGTCAGGGTGGATGCGCCGTCCCCTTTTCTGCGACCGTACCAGGCCGACCTTTGAGTGAAAGGAGCTGTGACAACACAAAAATGTGGGCATTGCATGTGTAGAGGCAACAAAACTATGCATGCAGTAGCCGCAACAAACTTCTTTTTTAGTTACAGCGGACAAAGAATAAGGTTAAGGTTGCTGAAGTAAGGAGACCCAATACACTGACAATTCAGAACCGTTTAACTCCGATGGAACGCCACATCTGACAGCGCTTTATACTGATGACATTTCTTTGCGAGGCACAGTACACCTAAAAGCTTCTGCTAGGGGTGAGGTCCCTCCTCTGAACTGCATACACCTGTATCCGTTACTGATACTTCACTAGCACAACAGCGGCGCATATACGTGGCATACTGCTCCATATAGGTGCTAGAGCCCGTTTTTATGCAGTGTCGTTGGCATGTACTAAACACACCACTGCAAAAAAACAAGCTGTTGTCCCCTTAGTACACCAAAGGCAATTTTTTAAAAACTGGTAATGCAAAAAAGAGTTTTGGAGTTTCAACGATCAGCTTGAGCTTGAAAACATCAGCCCAGTAGTTTTGGGGATCTTACGGGTCAAACTGAGCCCCCGCATATGATTCGAACGAAGTTCTCAGCATGAAAGTCTGATCGATACAGTATGAAAGCGCTAATTCCGTCTTCTGCACCTGATGTTTTCCTGCCATAACCAAGCATTATCTTGCGCCCAACCATTCAGCCCACACCCACTTACAGACGTCTCAAAGCGCCCAATGCTGGCGTGGTCGAAATCGGGAAATCCTGTTCGCTTTTCTGAAAGCCAAACCTCGCCTGACAGTGAGCCCTCCATGTCGCTGTGTCCCGACCGAGCCACAATGGCTGGCATGCGTGTGTGTGGCTTTCAGCTTCTGTGACGCCTGCGAGGACACTGGGAGGGGCCGCACGGGAGGGGCCGCGCGGGGCGTGGCAGGCCCGGGTTGCGCGCCGCGCCGCCCGGCCTCGGTGTGCTGCGCGGGGCCGTCGCTACCAGGGCTACTCTGCTGCTCTGTGCTCCGTTCTGGCCTCTGCGCCTGGGGCGATGGTGCTCCACCCCAGCGGTGGTGGTGCTCCGATGGCGTCACTGTGGTGGCGCCCCGCCCAACGATGACGTCACTCGATAACGACGCTGCTTACGCGCCGATGGCTTGGAGGCGGACTGATGAATGGGTGCTAGCCGCAGTGGCTGATCATTGGAGTGGTGACCTACATTTCGGCATACACCTGCATCATCTGAATGCGATGTGAGATGAGCATATTCGCGATGCGTTCCTGGCTTAATGACCGCCGCCACTTGGTCATTGCTTTTAGTGGCTACCAGCCCCATCTGGTGACTGTGTATGTCCCTACCTGGTATTTGGTGATTGTTGCACGAATGGTATGCATGCCGGCATGTCGATTGGTATTTGCCTGCCGGGTCATCTGTTTGATCGTTTAACGGCTCCCGGGCCCACAGTGATGGGGAGTCCAGAACCCGAACCTCCTCTCGAGAGTCCCATTACAACGCCATGCACTCACGAAATCTTCCCCCAGGCCGTCGTGTTCAGCATCATTAGCATTCACACCAGCCCAGTTATTGTCGGGTAGCTTGTCTACCCAGAGGCAGTGAGCCTTAAGTCGCGAGCCTTTCTGGGCCGACTGGTAGCTCCTCGCTCACGCGCCCAGCGCCGCCGATGCCGGCGCGCGCTTACCTCCGTCGTCTGCGTGCGGCGCGCAGGTCGGCTTCCTCACGGGCATCTGCATCCCGTGCTACGACCTGCTGTACCAGCTGATCCCCGAGACCCAGCTGCTGGTGGCCGGCTGCAAGAACAACCTGGCCCGCTGGATGGACATGGCCGAGGCCGGCGGCTGGCAGGAGGAGCTGAGCGCGGCCAACAGCAACACACGCTCTCGCCAGAGCGCGCAGCTGGCCGAGGCCGAGTTGAGCGAGGACAGCTAGAGCGGTACTACCAGCGCCGGCGGCCGCGGCCGACCGCCGGTCGTCAGTGGGACGCGCCGCCTCCGGGCCCCGTCGGCACCGTCGCCGCCAGCTGAGGCGGTCTGACCTCTCCGCGGGTCGGGGCACCCGGCGCGTGCGGCCCGCGGACAGGCTCTGTGTCAGGCCGCGCGGGCAGGCTCTGTGTCAGGCCGCGCGGACAGGCTCTGTGCGCTCCCTGGAGAGGCGTCCAGGGCGCCGGCCGTCCGGCGGCGCTGCCCGCCCCCCGGCGGTGACGCCCGAGCCGTCTGGTCTGCCCGTACCTCGCCATCCGAGTGTTAGCGACGGAAGAAACAGGAAGCCGTCGCACGCCAAGTTCCGATGTGTTTTTCGGCTCACTCGTTTTCACGCACGGGGTTTCACGTCGATGAGCTGGCTCCTCACGAATGCACTACACGCACCGTAAGGTGCGTGACGTACATACACGGACGTTCTCTACGCACAAGCAAGCGCATTAACACGGGCAGGAAGACAGGCCGGTCGACTCACCGAGAGCCACAGCCTACGGTGTGCACACACCCCGGTCCCGTGCGTCTGAGGGGACTCCTACACCCGATATGCTTACGCCCACTGTTGCACTGATGCGTCCTGTTCATGTACATACATGTGAGATCCCGCTGTACATACAGAGGCTGTCGTGGACTGTCTAAGTCGTCAGAAGTCGGTGCTGCGGCGTTAGTTGCCAGTGCTGCGCCGTCAGTTGCCGGTGCTGCGCCTTCAGTTGCCAGTGCTGCGCCTTTAGTTGCCGGTGCTGTGCCATCAGTTGCCAGTGCTGCGGTTGCCAGCGCTGCGCCTTCAGCTGCCAGTGCTGCGCCTTCAACTGCCGGTGCTGCGCCTTCAGTTGCCAGCGCTGCGTCTTCAGTTGCCGGCGCTGCGCCTTCAGTTGCCGGTGCTGCGCCATCAGTTGTCGGTGCTTCGCCGTCAGTTGTCGGTGCTGCGTCATCAGTTGCCGGTGCTGTGCCGTCAGTTGTCGGCGCTTCGCCGTCAGTTGTCGGTGCTGTGCCGTCAGTTGCCGGTGCTGCGCCTTCAGCTGCCATTGCTGCGCCTTCAGTTGCCGGTGCTGCGCCTTCAGTTGCCAGTGCTGCGCCTTCAGTTGTCGGTGCTGCGCCGTCAGTTGTCGGTGCTGCGCCATCAGTTGTCTGCACTGCTCTGCCAGTTGCCAGTGCCGCATCGCCAATTGCCAGTGCTACACCGTCAGTTCCCGGTGGCACATGTTCTGTTGTTAACGCCGCACCGTCAATTTCGCTGCGTTGCTCTGGCAGCTTTCAGTGCTACACCGTCGGTTGCCAGTGCTACATCGCCAGACATCACCCGTCGGCGGCCCGTTGTCGTCTCTGTTCCCGGGTTTTCCATGGCACGGAGTGGTTAGGATGTCGGTGCGCGTGCCGCCAGTCACCGGCCGCGTGTCAGGCGTGGCGGGTCGGCCCGCTGGGACCGCGCCGCCCTGCGCTCCCAGCGTGCGGCCGCCGCCAGACCCGTTGTTGTGGAGACTGTAACTGATTGTTTAGGGTCTTGGAGCGGCACAGGTCCGGAGGCGAAACGCATCACCTGCATTACTGGTCTGCACATGTACTTGTTCCTTTTTATGTATGTGAGGCGCTAATAAACAGGAAATGCAGCGAGACGTCTGTCTGAGCATTCTTGATGGAACAGTAGAGCAAGTATTGCGGCAATAAATTACATCACTCCCCAGCACATCGTGTGGGCTCCTGTGCCCCCCCCCCCCAAACGCGTGCGCGCACACACACACACACGCACACGCACACGCACACGCACACGCACACACGCACGCACGCGCTAGTAAAGCTGCGCGGACATCAACAGCACCGTAGAAATCAATTACACCAGACGCCTGTCCGTCCATGGCTTTTCCACGACGGAGAGCGCTGTCCACCAGGCTCAGTTCAGGCGTTCAGCTGACGGCAGTGGGTGTGTCGCAAGCGATTTTGGCTTGTGCCTTCATCTGCTGTTGTGCATCTACTGAAGTCTACCGGAATTCGCTCCAGTACCCCGAAGCCGCTAGCATATTGGAGCAGTGGCCACGCGGTCCGAAGCGGTCCAGGAGGCTCATATTTTGAAAGCGAATTACAACACAGCGGTTGTGATACATTCGGTTTTTTCGAACATTGGGCGTTATGATAAATTAGTGGTTCCGATATTATGGTCGCGATTACCACGGCGTTAGGTGTTGTGATGATCCCCGAGTAGAGCCTGCTGCCGTTGGAATGTTGATGCGGCGAGTCACCGACCCGCTCTCATTCAGATTGACCCGACGTCATAAAGTGCATCGAGTGACTGCATTGTGAAGATCGTCTCCCTCATGTCTGACACAACTATGACGGATTTTGATATGCATCATGGAATATATTCGCGCACTCAGAACCCACAAGGGCGCGACTCCCTCGGACCGTTCCCTGATCCACCACGAGCGCGCACTGCGGCTGGGCTGGTCCGGGACCGTCATCTGGAGCGGCGCCGGGCAGCCCGGGAGGCGGACGTCGCTGCTCGGCGCGAGCGGCCCGTCACCGCCGCCGCCGGGTTGTCTGCCTTCTGGCCACCTTCCGACTCGCAGCCGGCCACCAGCGTGTAGACGAGAACGGAGCACTTGGCGGCGGTGGATCTCAGCTTGACGAACAGCAGACAGCGGTCCATGACAACGGTCACCTGGGCCAGACCTGGTGTGGCGGAGACCGACACGTGAGGAAAAGCTGGGGGAGGGACTGTGGTGCCTACCACATGCTGCTGGCCTGGTCAGGGGCCGGAGACCGACACGTGAGGAAAAGCTGGGGGAGAGACTGTGGTGCCTACCACATGCTGCTGGCCTGGTCAGGGGCCGGAGACCGACACGTGAGGAAAAGCTGGGGGAGGGACTGTGGTGCCTACCACATGCTGCTGGCCTGGTCAGGGGCCGGAGACCGACACGTGAGGAAAAGCTGGGGGAGGGACTGTGGTGCCTACCACATGCTGCTGGCCTGGTCAGGGGCCGGAGACCGACACGTGGGGAGGAGCTGGGGGAGGGACTGTGGTGCCTACCACGTGCTGCTGGCCTGGCAAGGGGCCGGAGACCGACACGTGGGGAGGAGCTGGGGGAGGGACTGTGGTGCCTACCACATGCTGCTGGTCTGGCCAGGTACTGGTGGCTGAGACCAAAACCACGTTGGGAACACGGAGGTTCACGAAGCTTTGCGGGTGGGATCATGTCCTGCCTCCTCGCAGGCCAGAGACCGCCCTCACCTGCGCCCGCTAGCGGCATCCTGTGCTCCAGCGGGGTGTCAGAGATCAGGGTCCAGGTCAGCCGATCGAACAGCAGGAGGCGCTGCAGGACGGCGACCTCGCCCACCTCCTCCTGCCGGGTCACCAGGGGTCGAGTCAGCCGCCGCGAGGTCTGGGAGGTGACGGTGAGGGGGGCACCGGAGGTCGATTAAGATCAGGGAGGTCAGTGTCACCCTGCGGAAAGTTCACCAGAGGTCGCTCGAGGTCAGGGAGGCCACAGCCAGCCTGTGGGGAGGGCACTGGAGGTTAATCGAGGTCATGGAGGTCAGTCATCAGACGGGGGTCGCTTGAGGTGATGAGAGGCTGGGTCGCGCTAGGTCCGCAAAGGATAGGTAACCTGAGGGGTCAGAAGTAAGAGATTATAAGTGAGATAACTACCGGCGAAAACTGCCTAAACTGGTGGCATCATCACGTGTCAGAACCACCCGCCGCAGTGTCAAACGTGTGTGTGTGTGTGTCATCAGGACTTAACGACGCACTCAGCAGCTATGGCATCACCTGCCTCCCACAGACGGGAGAGGCCGGCACCAGATCACATCATGCAGAGACACCAGGGCCAAGTTCGTCTATAGTTATGGTTAAAAATAAACATGGCAAATGCTTCTCTGTATGAGCAGGCTTCCGTCCAAGCATTCAATGATAGGAGACGACCGCGGAAAATAGCTCAGCAGGGTTCATCGATGCTAGTTCAGCATGGTTGCTAAGCGACGAAGCATACTCGTGTTTTTCCGCTGCCTCGGCGTCGGGACCAGTGCCATCGATTCGTTGTTCGCCGCGAGCCAACATGTCCACCGGGGCTTCTCACATCTCGCCGCAGCGGCTATTTCTGGCGCACCTCAGACGTTCGACAATAAAAAATAAACGTGGGCTACACAAGCTAACGCTGACCTCACGCAAGCAGAGCTCTAAGACGAAAGCTTGCGGTGGGGTAGGCACACACTGTGCTAAATGCGTGCCCATATTTTATTCGAACAAGCCAAGCACCACTCATGGCACTGGCGTGCGTCTGAAGATGTGAGATCCACCGCTGCATCGAGCACGGATCTTAAGTGGGGAGGGACGAGGTGCCCTTTCTGGTTTGGCGGACAAGCAGTGATGAAGCGGTGCTTTCGCGGAGGTGAGATTTGATTTAACATTTTAGGCCACTCCTGATCCTTGCCAAGCAACGTTGAAACTCAGCCTGGAAGGATGCAAAAAATGCAAAATGACGCAAAACAATGTACTGTGTTGAGATAAGCCTAAAAATGGGGCATTTTATGCAGCCTGGATATTATTGGATATCGGCGAGACAACATCGTACCAAAACTACCGCATATCCCTGTAAACATTTTCCTACCGCAAAACACAACTCAAACTGACGCCAAGGTGCCGGATCGAATGCGGACCCAATAAGCCAACCGAAACAATATTGTCGGCCGCGGAAACATCGTGGTGCTGATCATGTAGCACTATCCAGATATTCACAGGACATAACTCTCCTCTTTGAGGACAATCTCGATCACATCCTGGAATGGAGGTACGTTTCAATTGCACGCTTTTGAATTCCTACCGTAAAAGAAATTGCCGGCCTGCCGCAGCTATTGGGTCTGTATTCCAACATGACGCATGACGCATAAAACGTTTCGTCAGCGACACATTTATGGGCTCATGTGATCACGACTCGTCAAAAAACGTCACTCGGCTCCAGGTTTCCCATCCAAGACCTTACCGACGCTGTTAACATACAAGCAACTGAGCCTAGCAGATACCAGAGACCCCCCCCCCCCCCAGGTCGCCTCCCCTGAGCGCGTCCCTGAGGGCGCCCGTCTGCCGGCCCGGCCAGCCCGTCCTCGAAGGCCGGCGGAGGGCGGAGGACGGCGCTGGGCTCAGTGGAAGCTCGCGGCGGACGACGCTCGCTCACCTCGACCAGCACCAGCGGCAGCAGGTCGAGCTCGTCCTCCAAGTCCCAGGCGAGCCACCAGTCTGACCCGGAGGTGCTGGAGACGCTGTCGGCGGTAGCGCGCACCCGCACGCTCCTGCCTGCAGGGCGCAGGGGTCACATGCCGTACTCCGCCGCCAGAGGCGCTGCCGTCGCAGGGTGAGCTCCTCTGGCAGGTACTGCTCAAGATTAAACTTGAAACACCGTTTTTAGTCCTCGCCCTGATTCGCCGTTTTTCATAACAAGAACTGCCGGGAAGTCCATACACCCCCCCCCCCCCCCCCCCCACACACACACACTCCTCCCCCTCCCAGGCGTTTCCAAAGTAATGCAGAAAGAGCTCACCGAAAAACACCAGAGGATTGATCTTGCCGAGGTCTCGCGGGTGGTACCAGCTTCAATATTATCAGATCAATGATTAACCCCATTATGCCAAAAAGGAAGGTTCCGTGAAAATGAACTTTTTGAGCTTTACAACACCAAACATACGAGACAAGAACTTAGATTAAGCTAACCTTAACTTTAACTTAAAACTCTTAACTTGACACAAATCTTAACACTTTACCAAATCAACGACACAAAGCTCACACAGGCGTGTTTCTTGGTCAAATCTGAGTGCAGCAATGCACATTTGTGTGTTTTGAGCATATGTTTAGGATATATGGGTTCATTAATGTAACAACATGGGCCACCGTGCGCGTTCCACGGCATCGTCGGTTTCCGCTCTCCGCCCGCGTCGGCCGTACCTCGCCGTGCAAAATTCCTCAAAAGCCGCCGCCGCTCCGACACCAGAAGAGCTAGGTACACGTTTTTGGGTGTCAAAACACGCGCAATGGATGCCCGATAGGATATCAAAAATTTGGGTGCTATTGCACAGCATGCCAGAGAGGTGTCGTCAAAAACCCTAGGGGGTTTGCATCGACCCCCCCCCCCTCCCCAATCAGGGCGAGGATTATATCGCACTATGCGAAGCCCAGGGCTGGGAACACCTCAATCTCGACTGATCTTGAGTTTAAGTTATTATTTGACAGTTGGAATTGGTGATAGAAAGAAACGAGTCCCAGGACCATATACATTACACGGGGCGATCCGAAAGCAGCACAGGCTACAGCTGCACTTTATAAAACTGGCAATAGCGGGAGTACTATGATCGCATGGTCCCCGTCCGCGGAGTTACGAGCACGGGTGTAGTTCCTATTTAGCTCAGGGATCCCCTTCCAAACTTGTGCTTCAAGCCACAACTTTGAGGCGAAAGTACGTCAACTCCGGGGATAAACTCCGGTGATAAACTGTTGGCGTATTTTGAGGTAGGTTTCGTCATTTTCCACTGTCTTTCCCCCTCCCCGACTCATTTTGCGCATTTACACCCCTGGTTGTGAGCCCCGCTTACATCACAGATCGCGTACCAAACCACAAGACGTGCCTCGACTGGCCCACGCCGATTAGGCGCCTGGAGCTCCCCTCCCCCGCCAATCAGCGCGTGGAGTGGCCCTCATGCAGCCGTGCACCGTAATGGCATTAGCAGTGCGGTGACCGGCGGCGAGACGACCGCTAAGACTGGCCCGCGCCGGCCCACGTCACCGCAGGAGAGCTCAGCTCATTACGTGACGTCACACCCGGCAGCGTCACCGGAAGGTTCAGAGTTCACTGCCGAACATCGGGCAGCACGACATTCGTGCAGAAGTATCCACGACATACACGTGAAGTCAGGTGTGCTGTTCACGTCCCAGGAACATCGCGATGCTGCTGGGTCATCGGATATTTCACGCATTGCTCCATGTAAAAACGGAAGATCACGTGCGCGATGCGATGTTCAAACGGAAGACGTCATGATTGACGCCATGGAGTTCGTCAGGTGACGTCATACCTGACCGTGTCTTAACAGGAACACTTGGTACCGGCGAGAAGTTACCGGAGAAACACAACGGATCGACGTGCATGACCACCTGACCTGACCTAAGGTCAAACACCCTGGAAACGGGAACACAGGTCAGGGTGTGCCCAAGTACAATCGACATGCGTTCCCCACGCATACGATGGTATACGGCATCATGTTCGCAGCGACGCCGCGCAACGTACATGAATTACGTATCTTCGCACATCTCAAAGTGCAGGACGGGTAGAGAGCTCTATGCTTGGATTGACACACCAGGCCTAATGAAATAAACCGAGACAGCAATATGGCCAGACCGAAAGTGCTACCTCAACCACTTAAACATTCCACTGTTTCCGGAGACAGAAAACGCCGCGTTCAAATGACTTTGTAGTTGATTGGCAAATGACGAAATGAATCGATTAGGGTGACTGCCTTAGATAGCTGTTTAAAACAGTTTTGAAGCAGCCGGACCTCGCTGCGCAGGCAGACCTGAGCTCAGAGGTTGAATGCTGCACGATGAGCGGGCCGTCGTCGATGAAGGTCGCCGCCTCGGGGCAGATGCTGGGCTGCAGACCCCCGCAGGTCAGCACCCTGACCCCGTCAGAGACGGCGTGGACCTGCCCAGGTCAGACGGCCACAGGGTTAGGTCAGGTCAGGCCCTGGCCCCACCACATGCTGTGAGGACCCGTCCAGCTCAAATAGGCAGGAAATCAGGTCACGTCCGACCCTGACCCCGCCGGAGCTGGTATAGATCTGCCCGGGTCAGGGACGACTCGGTCAGAGGTCATGCCAGCACTCCGACCCTATCAGGGACGGTATAAACCCGCCCAGGGGTCAGAGTTTTTTAGCTTGCCGAAGAGGATGTGGACTCGCCCACGAGAGGATCAGAGGTCATGACACATCGACCCCTCCAGGGACGGTGTTGACCTGCCCAGGAGACGGTCGGGGGTCATGCTAGCATCTCCGCTCCGTCAGATACTAGTGGACCCAGTCCGAAGTCCGAAGTCCGAAGCGAGAAGACAGAGTTGTCTTCTCACGTAGTCAGCAAAGCGGGCCAGGTTCTAAGTCATCTGGGTCAGCAATGCTCCAGCTGGTTGATTGTTGCGGCTGCCCGGCACCACTGCATCAGCTAGCGCCAGCTTCAAGCGGCGGTCTTAGTCTTCTGAGTGTCCTTCATCTGGCCAGCTTCAAGCGGCGGTCTTAGTCTACTGAGTGTCCTTCATCTGGCCAGCTTCAAGCGACGGTCTCAGTTTACTGAGTGTCCTTCATCTGGCCAGCCTCAAGCGGCGGTCTTAGTCTACTGAGTGTCCTTCATGTGGCCAGACTCAAGAGGCGGTCTCAGTCTACTGAGTGTCCTTCATCTAGCCAGCTTCAAAGCGCGACAGACGACAGACACACTAGGCGTACACCGCCACCGCCGAGCGTAAGAGTCGTCAAAAGCACGCCACGCCCATGTCCATGTACTCATGCCACCCCCCTATCAGACCCTGCACGTGCCGCGCCTTCCGGCGCAGGCTGACGTCACCTACCTCAAAGCCGTCACACTGCTTGCGGCGAGTAACCACGTGGTAAGGCGTGGCGCCTATCTCCAGATAGCCTTGGTGAGCGGGGAACGTGGCTATGGGCGGAGCCGTGGGCAGGAGCTGGCCGTTGATTGGCAGGCCGTTCGGAGGCTGACCGATCACGTACCGCTGGCCGTGGACGGTCACCTCGTCTCCCAATCCGGCCTGGAAGCTCCTCTCCTACGAAGGGTGGGTGGGGGGGGGGGGGGCAGAATCTTTGTCAAAACTAACAACGGTAGGGAACCGCTGGCAGGCAAAACAGCGTGAAAACGGGCGGAAAACCGGCCACTGCGCCTATTGTGTTCTCGCACCGTCAAAGCCACCACCAACTGCGCGAGAGTCACGCAGTTCGACATATGTATACGTCACGCAGGGCCCTGTCCGGCGGAGGTTGGATGAGGTTCGGGAGGGAGGAAGTACCCCAGTTACAGGCGCGGCGTCGGTGGCGGCGCGGCGATGTCACGGCACGGCGGCACGTCAGCGGGACGACCGGTCCGGGGAGCGAGCCCGGCCAGCAGCGCGTGAGCGCCGCTCCAGGTGGCGCTGACGGCGTCGGCGGCGGCGCGGCGATGTCACGGCACGGCGGCACGTCAGCGGGACGACCGGTCCGGGGAGCGAGCCCGGCCAGCAGCGCGTGAGCGCCGCTCCAGGTGGCGCTGGCGGCGCCGGCGCCCACCTGCAGTATCCGATCCAGGCTGAAGAGGGAGACGAGGCCCCGGGAGCGGGAGCTGAGCATCACCACCCCGTCGCCTACCGTCACCGAGTCGTCGCGCGGGAAGTGGCGACGCAACACCTGGAGACAGCCGATCGCTCCGGTCAAATCACAGGCCCGGCGCCAGGGAATCACGCATTGGTGCGTTTCGTTCGGTGATTACAGGTTTGGAAGCAATAGCACCATCTAAAAAATAAAATAAAGAAAAAATGAGCTATGGAAAGGCACAATAATATTGCGCAACGACCGGTAGCGTTATCCCCATCACCACCACTCCCACCATCTTTGTGTCCATCATACCGTGTTTGATGCTGATAGCCACTCGGCTAGAATATCATGGAACGTTCAAAGATATTAAGTTGACAAATATTGCGGGGTTGCTGACAGGCCTTGATCACTGACAATCATGAAAAAGCGAAGTTAGACACGTTTCATATTCTTGAATATCGCAAAATCATGACTGTCGATGCTTAGCAAAAACCCTGTCCCCGTCAATAAATACGAAACATCGAGAAATTTAACATCTTTGAGCTCCTTTGGAAGTTCCAAAAAACGCCTTGTCATGGCTGATGCGAGAAAAAAACAACCATAGTAATATCCTTAGCCACAAACTCATGCATGCCGTCGAATTTCATATCATGCCGTCGCTTAACATGCCGGAAACGTCCATGTTGCGTCTGCATGGCGTAAGACATCGCACAAACACGAGCAGCACAAATCACCAGGACACGCGACACCGCACTGATCCGTGGAGTGTGCGGAACAAGGCTACCTAAGGTCCCTCGTCGGAGGGGCAGCAGCGCGGGCAGCGGGACACCCACCTGAAAGTGCAGCAGGAACTCCAGCGGGTGCAGCGTGAACACGATGACGGACGCCAGCGCCTCCTCCGTCTGCACTGATGTCATCACCAGCCTGAGGCAGCAGTCACAACCCCCGTCGGAATCGGAGAAACACGGCAGCGAACGCGCCACCGGCCCCGGTAGACTGGGACCTCACGACGCCCGTTAACAGAGGGCCACACGCCAGCACGCCAGCGAATGGTACCTCCGGTTTGCAGAACACGAGAACACCTCATCTATTCACAGACGCTGCTAAACTCATATGCACGAACAGTCCTCACCAAAATGACTGCACTGCCTTCTGCGATATTGGGAGGACCTGTCTGGCTAGCCTGTTGTCCCGCTGAGCTCAGCGCCGCACCCCACTCTGCCGCGGCCACCCAATCGGTCGCCACTGACTCGTTGCGCTCCAAGTCGTGGTGGATGTACTTGACGGCCGGCTGGCGGCGCAGGTGCACCGAGCCCGGCGGGCGGGGCCAGCACCCTGAGTCGCCGCACGAGCTGGCGCCGGCCGATGTCTACCACCTCCAGGTCCGTGGACGTGTTGCCAGTGGAGGGGAGAACGCCAACGGCCGGCATGCTGAGGGCAAGACGGCCGCGCCCGGAGGTCACAAGGTCGGAGGGTCACAGACCTGTCAGACGGTCACAGGATTAGGTCGGCTCAGGTCAGACAAGCTCAGGTCAGACAGGCTCAGGTCATAGGCTCAGGTCAGACAGGCTCAGGCCACACAGGCTCAGGTCAGACGAGCTCAGGTCACACAGACTCGGGTCACACAGGCTCGGGTCACACAGGCTCAGGTCACACAGGCTCAGGTCACACAGGCTTAGGTCACAGGCTCAGGCCAACAGGCTCAGGTCACACAGGCTCGGGTCACACAGGCTCAGGTCACACAGGCTCAGGTCACACAGGCTCAGGTCACACAGACTCGGGTCACAAGGCTCAGGTCACACAGGCTCAGGTCACCAGGCTCAGGTCACACAGGCTCAGGTCACCAGGCTCAGGTCACACAGGCTCAGGTCACACAGGCTCAGGTCACACAGGCTCAGGTCACACAGGCTCAGGTCACACAGGCTCAGGTCACACAGGCTCAGGTCACACAGGCTCAGGTCACACAGGCTCGGGTCACACAGGCTCAGGTCACCAGGCTCGGTCACACAGGCTCAGGTCACACAGGCTCAGGTCACACAGGCTCAGGTCACACAGGCTAGGTCACACAGGCTCAGGTCACACAGGCTCAGGTCACACAGGCTCAGGTCACACAGGCTCAGGTCACACAGGCTCAGGTCACACAGGCTCAGGTCACACAGGCTCAGGTCACACAGGCTCAGGTCACACAGGCTCAGGTCACACAGGCTCAGGTCACACAGGCTCAGGTCACACAGGCTCAGGTCACACAGGCTCGGGTCACACAGCTGGGTCACACAGGCTCGGGTCACACAGGCTCAGGTCACACAGGCTCAGGTCACACAGGCTTAGGTCACACACTCGGTCACAGGCTCAGGTCACACAGGCTCAGGTCACACAGGCTCAGGTCACACAGGCTCGGGTCACACAGGCTCAGGTCACACAGGCTCAGGTCACACAGGCTCAGTCACACAGGCTCAGGTCACACAGGCTCAGGTCACACAGGCTCAGGTCACACAGGCTCAGGTCACACAGGCTCGGGTCACACAGGCTCAGGTCACACAGGCTCAGGTCACACAGGCTCAGGTCACACAGGCTAGGTCACACAGGCTCAGGTCACACAGGCTCAGGTCACACAGGCTCAGGTCACACAGGCTCAGGTCACACAGGCTCAGGTCACACAGGCTCGGGTCACACAGGCTCAGGTCACACAGGCTCAGGTCACACAGGCTCAGGTCACACAGGCTCAGGTCACACACTCGGGTCACACAGGCTCATGTCACACAGGCTCGGGTCACACAGGCTCAGGTCACACAGGCTCAGGCCACACAGGCTCAGGTCACACAGGCTCATGTCACACAGGCTCAGGTCAGACAGGCTCAGGTCAGACGTGAGACCGTGGGACAGCCTTGGCGTTGCGAGCCTACCGCGCAATGCGAGGTGTACAAGGCTGACAGCCCTGTGTACACCCTTATTCTCTCGCTTGACAGGAGGCATGCACATGATTTGTGTGCCTTTGACGCATGGCAGTCCATTCATCCCATCTGGGCGGTATCCCTGCACAAGGTCGGACACACTGGCAAAGGTGCGGATGGGGCCTCTCTACCCTCTCAGGGTTGGGCACACGGACCTAGGTACGGGTGGGGCCTCTCCAGCAGCGCACGATTGAGCAAACTGACTGAGGTACGGGCGGGGCCTCTCCACCAGCGCAGGTTTGGGCACACCGACCGAAGTACGGGCGGGGCCTCTCCACCAGCGCACGATTGCGCACACTAACTGAGGTACGGGCAGGGTTTCTCCACCAGCGCAGATTTGGGCACACCGACCGAAGTACGGGCGGGGCCTCTCCACCAGCGCACGATTGGGCACACTGACTGAGGTACGGGTGGGGCCTCTCCACCAGCGCAGATTTGGGCACACCGACCGAAGTACGGGCGGGGCCTCTCCACCAGCGCACGATTGGGCACACTGACTGAGGTACAGGCGGGGCTTCTCCACCAGCGCAGATTTGGGCACACCGACCGAAGTACGGGTGGGGCCTCTCCAGCAGCGCACGATTGGGCACACTGGCTGAGGCACGGGTGGGGCCTCTCCACCAGCGCAGGGTTGGGCACACTGACCGAGGTACGGGTGGGGCCTCTCCACCAGCGTAGGGTTGGGCACACTGACCGAGGTACGGGTGGGGTCTCTCCACCAGCGCAGGGTTGGGCACACTGACTGAGGTACGGGTGGGGTCTCTCCACCAGCGCAGGGTTGGGCACACTGACCGAGGTAAGGGTGGGGCCTCTCCACCAGCGTGGTGCACCTGTCGTCTTTCCGCTCGATGTCGCTGAAGAACGGCTGGAAGCTGCCCGGTCGGTCCAGAGGCCCGAAGGCCGGGGCGGCCAGCACTGAAACGCAGCCGGTTGGGGATCAGTGCGTGACGGAAACACATCACGCAGGATGGCATATATATAGTATATCAGTGAGACCCTGAAACAAAACCAGGGAGCTTCCAACTGGACGCTGTACACAAGTGCTGGTAACGCCCGTTAGATGCTGCAATAAGGCAGAGGGGTTGCCCGTGGCATACCGACACAGAATAAGGCGCTGCTTCATTAGAGCGACAGAGCGCCAGGGCGGTACACACCCCGGGATATCGGCTCACCGCTGCTTCATCAGAGCGACAGAGCGCCAGGGTAGTACACACCCCGGGACATCGGCTAACCGCTGCTTCATCAGAGCGACAGAGCGCCAGGGTAGTACACACCCCGGGACATCGGCTAACCGCTGCTTCATCAGAGCGACAGAGCGCCAGGGTAGTACACACCCCGGGACATCGGCTAACCGCTGCTTCATCAGAGCGACAGAGCGCCAGGGCGGTACACACCCCGGGACATCGGCTCACCGCTGCTTCATCAGAGCGACAGAGCGCCAGGGCGGTACACACCCCGGGACATCGGCTCACCGCTGCTTCATCAGAGCGACAGAGCGCCAGGGCGCTACACACCCCGGGACATCGGCTCACCGCTGCTTCATCAGAGCGACAGAGCCAGGGCGGTACACACCCCGGGACATCGGCTCACCGCTGCTTCATCAGAGCGACAGAACGCCAGGGCGGTACACACCCCGGGACATCGGCTCACCGCTGCTTCATCAGAGCGACAGAACGCCAGGGCGGTACACACCCGGGACATCGGCTCACCGCTGCTTCATCAGAGCGACAGAGCGCCAGGGCGGTACACACCCAGGGACATCGGCTCACCGCTGCGCTGCGCCGGCGCGTGCAGGAAGAGCTGCTCTACGGCGTACTCGGCGTCAGCGGCGTCGGCGCGGGCCAGGCGGCGCTGGAGCCGGCGCCGGCCACCGGCGCAGCACACGGCGCGCAGGGCCAGGCAGACGGCCCGGTACGGGTCGCGACCCAGGCCCGTCTCGCGCCGCAGCAGGCTCAGCGGTGCTGGCGGCGGCCGACCCCAGCTCACGCCGCCCGTGACGAAGCGGGACCGAGGCATGGAGCGGCGCCGGTGCCGCTGAAACAAGAGGGAGTTCCGGGTGAGGGGCGGGGACTGATGACTTGTGGCTTGTCATTCGTGTTGGAAGTGGCGCTTGGGGGTGAAGGGTGAAAGTATCAGCCACAGTCCATATGGGAAGTAGAAAACGCGAACTGTTGAATTGCAATGCGTCACTACCCACAAATGAAGGATAAAGAACAGGTATCAGACAGGTGTTTATTGAACACGACGTAGTGCTGCGGGAAACGAACATCGTTGGGAATTCGGTTGGTTAGATAGTTATGGCTGGGAGAATATGTATTATGACAGTGAGCTGATATAATTTGACATGTACGACGATCTTCCCTATTCCGGCACACTGTATTTTCTGCCCAGCCTGAGGCAGCGTGACGTGCCGTGCCATCATCTGACTCCACCCGTTAGTGAAGTGGTGCCCTGGTGACGATCAAATGAACTCCCTAACAAGGGTGAACGCACAAAGTTCAGACATTGAGCACCGTTTCTCAGCTTTTCCACCAGACTGCCAAACTGTTAATTCAGCGGATAGGCAATGCTCTGGTCGAGATGATGTAAATTGCTAAAGAATAGTAATGCCGGCGTTGGTCGAGATCGCAGAACAGCAAAAGCGCTCGCACCACATAACCATTCCAACTTCAACTGGCCGACCAATACGGCTTCATGTTCCATGTCCTTGCGCATTGCTCGACGCGGTTTCAATGTAGCCGGCACGTGCGCGAGCCCTTCACACGAACCCGCGGACGGCCAGGCGGAGAGCAGTTGGAACAGGTCGAGCATATGCTTCACGTTTGCTGCCCTGCCTAACGCGGCACTGGAGAGGATAAGACAACTTCTGCTTAATTTAGGTTTGAATGGTCTCATAGGACGATTAACATATTCGGAGCGAGCACCGAGCAGTGCTCAGTACGGAATTCAAACTAACTGGAGTTCATCTCTCTGATCCGGAGCAGCCATCGTACCCGCATCCCCAAAACATGTGTTTGTTTTTAAGGCACTGAGTCCGCCAACGCAGCTTAAATGCACTGTTGTAGCTTGCCCTGGTACCGGCCCCCTTTTCATTGCCGATGAATGGCAAGACACTGTTGCAATACGCTGCGCCAATCAGGCGAACGGAAGTGCCGGTTACAGCGCTCTCCGTACGGGCGCCGGTTGTTAACTCTTGGCCTATCTTCACAGCAGCAACGCTACATTTGTTGCGGGCTGAAATATACCACGAGCGTCATTCATTAGCGTGTAGAAAACACCGCTTCAGGCCACGACGGCTCAGGGCTCGGCCACCTGTAGCGTGCAGCGCAGGCGACGCTGTCAGCCGCACAATGAGCCTTACCACGCGTCACAATGGCAGGTGCGTGTCCTGCGATCAACCGTCGGCAGACGTCGCGGGGCCAATCGCACCGACACGGGAGATCATGACGAGGCTGGCGCACAGGTGTCGCCGCCAGCCGCGGAGGAACGCTCCCGGTGGCGGTACAACGCCGTATAAAGGGCGGCGCCCCCGTAGCCGGTGGACAAACACCTGCCGCCGGACGAGACCATGGTACCTCGACTTCTGCTCGGTTTGGGCCTGATGGCCCTGGCCCGACTCGCCGTGGGAGTCTGCCCGCACGACGACGCCGCACTCAAGAGCTGGAGCGACGCTGCCACCTGGGCCTCTGGCGCGGTAAGCCGTGGCGAAGGCCGGCCGCCAACTCGGCCCGGCTCTGCGCTGGAACCTCGGCCGCGGGCGGTCACAGTGTGCGTACACAGCGTCCGGCTGTTTGGCTGCGGCGCCCCTTGCCACCTCGCCTGGGACGGCGTGTCCTCGGGTGCTCATCACGCGGCGCCACTGTCGCTGCGGCGCCCCTTGCGACCTCGCCTGGGACGGCGTGTCCTCGGGTGCTCATCACGCGGCGCCACTGTCGCTGCGGCGCCGCCGCCGTCGCGGCAGGGCGGCCGCTGCTCACTGGGTGCGATGGGCACCGCCTCCCACACCAGCAGTTCCCCTCCGCTCATATCAGCCTCCGCTCTCCGCCTCCCGCCCGGACGTCTCCGCACAGCATTGTTCGTCAGTTGCGAATGCGTGAACGGGCGTCTTTCAGAAACGAAAGAATGCGTGCTCGGCAGGAGACGAGAGACCTCCAAGTGCCAAACGGAGTAAGGTCCCAGTGCTTTAAGTCACGATTTACTGAACCTTTCGTCAAGAACGGGGAACGGGCTGACGCGTTGCAAAGGCAAAACCTGCTTTGCGTCTGCTAACAGTACGGGTTTATGAAATCGCAAGGTTTTACAGAACGCCTGAGACGAGATGCTCCTATGAAGGCTGGGAGATGTTTGGAGCTATTGTCCCTACTTACAGCTTTAAACGGCTTCATATGGTGCTAAACTATTGCCTTCGACCTTGACAAGGTGATGTTTCACTGCAGTTGCCGACTTTGCTCTTCAAAAATAAGTCTTGCTTGACCTGTGACCTCACTGTCACCGTGTCACTGGCTTCGGCTTCGGCTTCGGCTTTGACTTCGACTTCACGTCACTGTTTTGGGTTCGGATTCGGCTTCAGAGCCAAAAGCAGGACTTCGCTCCCATTCTGAACTGCACACTACCCAAAACCATGACACCCTTTGATGCATGTTTGTTGTGTTGTTTGTGGTGGTTTTGATGATTTTATCAGCCAAAAGGTTTGCGAAGCAAAACTGAACGCCCCCGGCTGGGCCGTGCCACTCAGATGAGGTGGGATGTACTTGGTCCAGATTTGCCTATGCCCGTCGCGCCCGACAAGTCGCTCTGGTTGAGTCGCCGGCCACCCCGCCAGTGATGCAGCCCCACTCCGCCCATGGCCCGTGGCTGTTGCGCAGTCAGACTTCCGCACGGGTGTCAGCTGACCTCTGTCCCCGTCCACCACGCTCGGCGTGTCCGTGGCGACCACACGCCCGGTGCGCGACCCGCTGCTCCCTCCCTCCACCCCTCCGGCCCGGGCAGGCGAATGACGGATCAGAGCCCCTGCCGCAGGTGCCAGTCGAGGGCGAGGCGGTGGTTGTGACGGAGCCCATCCTGCTGGACACGGCGACACCCTTCCTGGTCTCCGTGGAGGTGGCCGCCGGCGGTCGGCTCGTCTTCGACCCGGACGTGGCGCTCGCCAAGCTGGCCGCCGAGTTCGTGCTGGTGAACGGCGAGCTGTGGGTGGGCGCCGAGGACTGTCCCTTCACCGGGCAGGCCGAGCTGGAGCTGCTCGGCCTCAAGAACGAAACGGTCGGCGTCGAGGTCGGTGGCGCGCTGCAGCTCAAGGCCCTGGTCGTTGACCAGGGCCGGCTGGAGGTGCACGGCGCACCGCGGCGCGCCTGGGCGCGCCTGCAGACCACGCTGCCTAAGACGACGCGGGAGCTGGTGGTGGGTTCGCCCATCTTCGACTTCGCCGAGTCGGAGGACGCGCAGTCCTGGTACCGCGGCTTCATCGCGTACGAGTTCTCGGCCGACGGTCAGCCGCTGGGCTTTCTGGGCCGGCTGCGGCGCTCGTGCGAGTTCGCGGAGCTCGTGACGCGCCAGGACAGCGTGGTGCTGCTGGTGATGCAGCGCAAGGTGGAGCTGGACGGCGGCCAGGAGCCGGAGCGCGTGGCGCTGGCGCTCGAGCAGGCGTGCTACGGCGGCGAGCGTCGCAGTCACCTGCGTGACCTCGCGCCGGGCCAGACGGTGGCCTGGGCGGCCGTCTGCCACGTCGGCCATCCGGAGAACAGCGTCGAGGAGCTCGGCCACCCCGAGGGCGACAACTCGATGACGTCGCGGCTGGTGCAGCGCGTCGGCGACGCTGACTTCCTGGTGCAGTCGGTGACGAGGCTGGAAGGCGACTGGCCGTTCGAAGTCAGCATGCTGTCGTACGCGGCCGGCACGGTGCCCGCCTCCACAATGACGTTGTCCGTCGACTCGGACGTCAGCGACTGGCGCGCCGGCGACACCATCGCCGTCACGTCCACCGACTACGACTGGCGGCAGGCGGAGGAGCTGACGCTGCTGGAGTGCGCTGAGTGCTCCAGCACCGAGATCAAGGTCGGCCGGCCGATCCTGTTCACGCACTGGGGCGAGACCACCGACGGGGTCAACATGGGCGCCGAGGTGGGCCTGCTTAACCGCAACGTCCGCATCCACGGCCGCATGGAAGACGCCTGCTACGGCGACAACCACTGCGGCCGCTTCAGCTTCGACACGTTCGGCGGCCAGATCAAGGTGCTGGCCGGCTTCCAGACGGTGCGCATCGCCAACGCCGAGATCTTCCACATGGGTCAGAACTCGGTGCTGGGTGCGTACCCCGTCCACTTCCACATGTGCGGCGACGTGGACTCACGCGAGCACCCGCCATACGTGCGCTCCAACGCCATCCACCACACGTTCTCGCGCTGCGTCACCGTACACGGCACTAACGGCCTGCTGGTGGAGGACAACATGGCGTTCGACCACTACGGCCACTGTTATTTCCTGGAGGACGGCGGCGAGAAGCGAACGACCTTCCGGCGCAACCTGGGCTTCAGCACGCGACGCACGAGCCTGACGCCCACGGACGGGCGCGCCTCCACCTTCTGGATCACCAATCCGGACACGGCGATGGAAGGCAATGTGGCTGGCGGCTCGGAGGGCTTCGGCATCTGGTACACATTCCCGCGTGAGCCAATCGGTCCGTCAGCTGAGCTGGGGCTCATGGCGGAGAACGAGGCGTACCGCACCCCGCTCGGCGCGTTCGTCGATAACGTGGCGCACTCCAACAACGAGTATGGCCTGCTTTTCGACGGCGTACTGAAACCGAACGGCCATGTCCACAGCGGCTTCAACTACAATCCACTGGAGGACCCGCA